GGACTGGAGGAGAAGCTGGAGAAGCTACATTCACAGGTGACCTCCATCACTCAAGAGAGAGACCAACTCCAGGAGATGCTGGAAGGTGTGAGAGCAGAGAGGAACCAGCTGAAGAATGACGTAGAGGAGAACATAGAAATGGTGAGGTTTCTCTTTATTAATTTCATGGGTGATTTTAGGCAATCAGGATCTTGTTTAATGCTTGTTTAACTTTTCCAGCTAATAATGGTCCAAGAAGAGCTAAGACAGCAGCAGCAGTTGACCTCAGATCTGCAGGCCCAGAAGTTACAGAGGGAGACCCAACAGGTAAACTCTTGCTTCAGACTGAGCCAGTGCAAAGGCAGGGCCGTCTGGTAGGCTGAAAGTCACACTGCGGCGCCAGATTATGTGACGCGTTCCATCTGTCCATTTTTTTCTGTTCATCCCGTTCCGGGTTGTGGGGCAGCAGAGAGATCCAGTCCATGGCATCACTGAGCTCTTCCCGCACTCATGTTTCTGCTTCTGCAACTGCCAAAGCCGTACTCCGTTTGGCCTGGCAGTGTCTGTCAGTTTGCTCCGGAGCCCCACAAGCTAACCAAGTTCGGAAGACCGTCTCCTTCAGCCTGATGGCTCCCTTTACTTGTAGTGTCTACCACCAGGTTTGGAGGTTTCTGCCATGACAGGCAGTTAGAACCTTATGGTCACAGTGCTGCTCAGCCTTCTTGGCAATGGAGGTGTGGAACATGGACTCTTCTGGCTCAATGTCTCCAGTCTCCCATGGAATACAGGAGAAGTTCTGTAAGAGTTGAGGGTTAAACATGTCTTGGACCGCAGTCTCTGCTAGATGCTCCCAGCACCTGCTCATTATACATTTGGGGATACCAGCTCTGTATGGCATTTCCCTCCATCTGATCAAACTCGCACCAGGTGGTGATCAGTTCACAGCTTAGCCTCTTCCTTCACCCCAGTCTCCAAAATATGTAGTTGCAGATTTGATGATGCGACTGCAAAATCGGTCACTGATCTACAGCCTAGGGTATTCTGGTGCCAGGTACTCCTTATGTTGGGGGGGGGGGGGGGGGGGGTTTGGGTTGTGTACCTCTGTGATCCTAGTGGCTACATTTTCAGGGGCAGTTGTCCCTGGTAAGGTCTCCCAAGGGAAATTGGTCCTAGGTGAGCAGCCAGACCAGGAGTGATTCGGAAGGCACTATGATAAGGAACAAGGATTATATTACCTCACCCGGAATAGGGAAACCAGAGCTCCACCCTGGAATCAGGCTGGGGGATAGATCATGGGCGAGTGCCTAGTGGTCAGGCCTTCACCCATACGGCCTAGCTGAGCAAAGTCTGGAAGAATTGCATGGATTTCCCCTCCTGTTGGCCCACCACCTGCATGGGACAGCCATCAGGGTTGGGTACTATGTGGATTGGGCAGTAGTTGATGGCGGGGGCCTTGGCAGACTGATTCCCAGTTACTGAAACTGTCTGTGACAAGTTCTTGGAAGAAATCCAGAACTTACCTTCCATAACCAGAATGTTACAACTTTGTGAAGACCAAATTATCATACACATTTAGCAGAAAATGTGATAAGTTTATAATGTATTAAGATGTAAGTTGAGTTTTATGCATTTCCTTTTTTTCTAGTTGTGGGTTTTTCCAAAAGCAGGTGCAAAATTCAAACACTATACAGGTTTTTGATTAGATGTTGGATGTTTGAATCATTTAAAATTTGCTCAAAGTGCTCTGTTAAAATGCAGATATTGACTTTGCTTAACCCAGATAAGCCACTGCTATGTTATAGCTGGGGGCAGATTAGTGGGTGTCAGAAACATCTAAAGGCAGGACCATGTGTCTTCTGTAGTCACCGCAGCAAAGTGAAGAGCTGGATGGCTGGAGAGCAGAGAGGAACCAGCTTAAGAGAGATCTCCAGGAGAATGTGGAGATGGTAAGCAAATACATTCATTTATAAGCCCTGGAATGGCTGAATGCTTCTGGTCTTTAAAATATGTTTATTGATTTTCATGAAAACTGAACAATAATCTGGGTTCTGCAGATGATTGAGAACCAGGAGGAGCTGAGGCTGGCTCAGGAGAAGATCAGAGACCAGCAGTCCACCATTAAGAACTTGGAGACTCAGTTTGTGAAGATGAGGTCACAGCTGATTGATGCTGATGCTGAGGGCAGTTCTCAGAATGTCACAGAATTGAAGGACCCGGTGAGATGATGTGCTTGAAGGACCAAGTTCTTCTTTGTCTGTCTCTATCTCCCCCTTTTGCTGAAATCACAGCTAAACTTAATTCAACTAAGCGGTTTCAGTTTGTCATCTGCTTTCATGTGACACACCTCAGTTTTCTGACTTTATATGGCTTGATATTTACTGGATCAATCTAAGGCTACTCTAGTCTACCTCCTGTCATAGAATCTAGCAGCTGCATAATTTAAGTCCTTCAGAAGTAAGTAGCATGGTAATGAGTGGTTGTGCCGAGTCTGCCTTGACTTTGTCCACGTTTGGATGTGTTATCCCTGAATCATGTCCATAGATGGTCTGAAGTTCAAGCGGTGTTGGTAGGTTCTGAATGATTTTTGAATCCAGCACGTGCTTGAAGAGGGCTTTAGTTTAAATTTTGACTGAATAACCTACAGATCCAGCAGCTGAGTGAGGAGCTACAGCTGGTACGCAGTGAGAGAGACTCTCTCCTATCTGAGAGGACAGACTCTGCTCAGGGAGTGGAGGAGAAGCTGGAGAAGCTACATTCACAGGTGACCTCCATCACTCAAGAGAGAAACCAACTCCAGGAGATACTGGAAGGTGTGAGAGAAGAAAGGAACCAGCTGAAGAATGACATAGAGGAGAATGTCATGAGGGTGAGGCTGGGTATTCTGACCTAGTATTTCTCCTGCTGTCATCATTGGAGTTGGTAAAATAACATAGAATTTTGACTCGCAAAAACGAAACCTTGATCGTCCTTTGTTTGCTGTGTGGGACGTCTCACGATGCTCATACCTGGATCTTCTCCTCAGATCCAGCAACTCGGTCTAGAGCTGCAGGTCATGCAGAGTGAGAGAGACTCTCTCCTATCTGAGAGGACAGACTCTGCTCAGGAAGTGGAGGAGAAGCTGGAGAAGCTACATTCACAGGTGACCTCCATCACTCAGGAGAGAGACCAACTCCAGGAGATACTACAGGCTCTAAGAGAAGAGAGGAACCAGCTTAAGAAGGATCTACAGGAGAATCTGGAGAAGGTGAGGCACTGAGCCATGTCCTGACTGTTGATCTTCAAAATTGTAATTTCTTCTTGGGGTGACCATAAGGTGGTGGTTTCATCCAGGCTATAAAGGTGCAGGATGACCTGAAGCTGCAGCAGATCCAAAGTGAAGAAGCTCAGGCTCAGTTTCAGCTGCAGGTCAGACGTTGTGACTTGATTCTAATGGAGTATGGAAAAGGTAGATTTGTGGGAGCTGAGTGTGCAAACTGTGATCCACCACTGCAGGTACAGCAGCAAGCTGAGGACTTGGAGAGGTTAAAATCAGAGAGGGGCTGCCTGGAAGATGATCTGCAGAAGCATGTGGGGAAGGTGAGGCCTTTCATTTTGACTTTACCTTTTTCCCACTCTTGTAATTCTTCAGCACATGGATCCAATAGCAACGCAATAAATGGTTTCTCCGTAACTGGGACACATTTGCTCTAAATAGTTTGCTCTGTTACTTGGAAGCTTTTGGTATCTGTGTTGAAATGGGGCCCTGAGCCCCTAAATGCAGCTCTGAAGGGACCATGTGCTATGAGCTGACGAGGCAGTGCTGCTGGTCATGGTGGGTATATCAGTATCGTGTGAGACCGTGACAGAGGGGTGACTTGATCTTAGCCATGTATATGGTGCCTTTGAATCATCTACAGATCCAGCAGCTGGGTGAGGAGCTACAGCTGGTACGCAGTGAGAGAGACTCTCTCCTGTCTGAGAGGACAGACTCTGCTCAGGGACTGGAGGAGAAGCTGGAGAAGCTACATTCACAGGTGACCTCCATCACTCAAGAGAGAGACCAACTCCAGGAGATGCTGGAAGGTGTGAGAGCAGAGAGGAACCAGCTGAAGAATGACATAGAGGAAAATGTTGTGAGGGTGAGACTGTGTACTCTCTATGTTGTTTTTCTCTTCCTGTTGTCATTGAAGAAATAATGTATAATTTTGACTCACACAAACAAAACCTCGGCCATTATGCTTTGTTTGCCTAGTGGATCCTCTCACAATGCTCATACCTGGACCTTCCCCTCAGATCCAGCAACTTGGTGTAGAGCTGCAGGTCATGCAGAGTGAGAGAGACACTCTTCTGTCTGAGAGGTCAAAGACTGCTCAGGGAGTGGAGGAGAAGCTGGAGAAGCTACATTCACAGATGACCTCCATCACTCAGGAGAGAGACCAACTCCAAGAGATACTGAAGGCTCTGAGAGAGGAGAGGAATCAGCTGAAGAATGATCTACAGGAGAACTTAGAGAAGGTGGCTTTCAGTCTTCTTTGACTGAAAACTTTGGCTTTTTTCCTTCTAGTGGAGATATTATTTAATGGACAAGTGGTCTACCTTGTGTTTAGGTCCTGAAGTTCCAGGATGAATTGCAACATCAGAAGACTTTAAAAGAAGCTCACACTGAACTGCAACTGCAGGTACAGTGGTTATACTTTGCTGGAGTTAAGATGTTGTGATGGTAATGAAGGGCTTATAAAGGGTGACCTGATGCTTTCTTTAGGTGAAGCGGCAGTCCGTAGAGCTGGATGCATTGAGAGAGAAGCGGACACACCTGAAGTGTGACCTGCAGAAGAGTGTTGAGGCGGTGAGGACCACAGCTCTACATCGTCTTGGTAACTCACCATGGCTGCACAGTGCAGACAGCCTTACAAACAAATTGGCACCTTTTGGGTTTGTTCACACAGGCTGAGGAGGAACTGCAACAGCAGAAGTCCCAAAGTGAGGACGCACAGACCATCCTCCATCTGAAGGTAACCTTCTGTGCCATTGGAACAGAAGATTAACTGTTCCCATCTTTTCATAAATAAGTCGTCAGTGCCAAAGTAATTTGGAAGTGAAGGTCATGGGTTTCCGAATGTGACCTTCTGACCTCTGTAGGTAAAGCAGCTCGGAGAAGAACTGGAGGGAGAAAGAGAAGAAGTGAGACGGTTCAAGAAGAAGCTGGATGAGGCTTCTGCCAAAGTGAGTCCTAGTCCCTTGGTCTCATTTAGGTTGTTTAATCACAGATTCAGAAACTCTTCATTTTGCTGTGTTGACTAAAGTAGGGGTGGGGAACTTGTCCCATGGTTGGCTGGTGTAGGTGTGTGTTTTTGGGACTGGTGTTGAGAACCTCTGTTTTATAATGGGCTGAAGGAGAGGTCATCCCAGAAACCCACACCTACACCGGCCCTCCATGGAACAGGCTCCCCACCCCTGGTCTTAAAGAACTGAAGCCATCAGTAGTAAAGCTATACTGTCTGACTCGTGAAGCAGAATAAGCTAGTTAATCCAGCACAGTGTCCCAAAAGGGGCTGTTCACTAACCACAGGGTCTAACTCTGACTCTAGCTCCTCCCAGAGGCGAGTCAGAGTAGGAGTGTGGCCGAGGAGTCCAGGCGGCTCCTTTATGGGAAACTGGAGGAGTCCGAGCGCCTCCTGCAGGTAGGTGGGGAGCCGTGGCTGGTGGCCTGTGGGAAATCCTGAAGCCAGGCCCTGATCGCTCCGTTGTGTCCCGTCAGGACCTACTCGATCGGTGCCAGCTCCTCCGGGAGCAGGCTCTGGGGGCCAGTACTGAGCTGATGGCCCAGCTGGACGAGTCCTCACTGGTGCAGAATGAGCTCGTCTTCCGCACGCTGCCTTCCATCCCCAAAGCCACACGCCAGATCTACAGGAACGTCCGCAAGAACACGGATGACTTCAGTGGTTTTGTCTGCCAGACTGCGGTAAGAATGACCTGGTGTAGTTGTGAACTGTGCACTGCACTACATCCCCTGAAATGTGTGAAGTGGGCAGTTCTGTGAGGTGACTGGAATTGGGCTGGATGTTAGTCATGTTAGTGATGTGGTTTTGTCCTTTTCATGCGCTGTTCATCTGTCTTCCTCCAGAGGGTGTATGCTCACCTGGCTACGGTACACAGGCAGCAGTTTGAGGCACAAGCTCACCACGACCTGGCCTGCATGGAGGAGATGCGTCTGCAGGATCTGCTGCTCCAGCGAGCGCAGGGCCAGCGAACCATTCAGGGCCAGACTGTGCTGCAGCTGCAGGATTTGTGGGACCAGCGTGCATCTGAGCTACTGGAGAAGAGGCAGAGCTGCATACAGGTGTGTCTCTCTGGCTTTGTGTTTACCACGTTGTGGTAAAAGCTGCTACTTTCTTAGCTTGTGGGACATTTCTCAGGTTCCCACAATATAACCTCAATTTTATAAAAATCTGTGAATGCAATCAAAAGATTAACAATAGGGGTACGGGTTCAGGGTAGGGTTAAGGGCATGCCCTTGTAAATGAAAGGAGAGTCCACACAATGATAGGAATAAACTCTGTATCTGCCTGTGTGAAACCCCAACTGGTCTCTGCCTAAAGCAAATATTAGAACATTTTGGGTGAATAGATCTGTGAGTATAGCAGCACCTTGTGGTGCAGCTGGGAACTGAACACTGCAGGAGTCAGACAGGGGTGTAAGCTAGGGCTGTCACCCATCCCTTATAATACAGGATCGTCCCGTACTATAAAATAAACTGCCACGTCCCATTCTCTAAGGGACCGTCCTGTATTATAAAGGCTGGCTGGCAGCCCAAGCGTAAACTGGACTGGTCACTGGATTATTGGATATTTACGCTTTACACCCCAAATCTGGCTGTGGTGTAGCAGGTGTCTCACATTCCTCTGAACTGGTCCCAGAAGCGCTTCATTGCTGGAAAGCCATCGATTGTTCCTGTATCCTGACCCCATATTTGGTCTTTTCAGAAGCTGCAGAGCATTCTTGGAGAGCTGGAGTCGGGTTTGGCCCAGAACTCCGCCTCTGTCCCCCCAGAGTTGGCGGAGCAGCGGTGCACCAATGAGGAGCTCCGGCCGTTGTGCGATGGCCCCTCCCTCGACCCAGCGGCGCTGGAAGGCCTGCTGCAGCGTGAGCTGTCCAGGCAAGCGGCAGCCGTACAGCCCAGGAAGGAGCTCTACCAGGTTAGCCCGCTCGGAGCCTGTCGGCCTCACACGCCACCTAGTGGTGGGCTTGGTTGTGGCTACATAAATAATAACTTATCAGCACGTTCTTTATAATTGGAGTTCTGGTCATTTTTGATCTGCTTTTATTCCTGCATTCAGTGTCAGCTGTCTCTGCATTTGCTATGCACACATATATGTACCGCAGCTGTGAATGTGTCAGGAATGTAGCCCTTGTCTGCCATTCCCTCTTCCCTCCCAGCGCCTGCAGGCAGAGTACTTTCAGGCCGATTCGAGGCTGCAGGTGTTCAAGGCCACCGCGCAGCGTCAGCTGATGGACCATAGGGGGCGCAGCTTAGCCCTGCTACAGTCCACACAGACAGACCACGAAGGCGCACAGACGGCCGGCTCAGGCAGCCTGCTCAACGACCCCCAGCTGGTTATCCAGCTGCAGAAGGCTGAGCAGATGGTCATGGTGAGGATTGGGGTGTGGTCATGTGTGTGTTTTTGGGGGGGGGGGGTACACGAGGGTGTGTCCCTGCCCTGCTTGTATGAGCTGGTTTACATACGTGAAACCCTTTTTACCTGCAGTAAAAGCCAGGCTAGTTCCATTAGCTCAGCATAGATAATTGCAGCAGCCCCTGGTCAATTCAAATCGGCAGTGTGGCATTTTGGTTATGCAGTACAGTATAGTATTTTATTTTAAAATTTTGTTTAGTTATTTTGTGTGACATTATCTGGCATGGGGGCAGCGTGTGGCTCAGTGGGCTAAGCCTGTGTGCCTGTAATCAGAAAGTCGCTGGTTCAAACCCAGCCTCAGCACATCTGTGGGACCTTGAGCAAGGCCCTTAACCCCCAGCTCCCTGGGTGCCGCTACAGGTGGCTGCCCTTCACAAACAACTTACTTCACAAATAGCAAATTGAGAGCGGTGTAAAGACAATTTCCCCACGGAGATTAATAAAAGTATTGATTAGTAGTTGTAGTTGTTTCTTATTCATCCCCACCCTTTCCCCCAAAACAAACCTAGAGAGCGAGGTATGAACCAAACCATGTTTCTGAACATAATTGTGGATTTGGGGGATCGTTACGCTCCTTTGAATGATGTGTATTTATAGATGTCCATTTTTCCTTCAGATAGTCCATGCAATTCGACACAGATCACCGATTCTTTCTTGTCGCCGTGCATTTCGACCAATCAGATGGTGATGCGGCTGCTCGGTTTAGTCGCGCTTTCGGTGCTGCTTGTAAGCAAGGCCATGTCAGCATGGGTACGGGTCAGGTACAGCTCACATAGTGGACAATGGAAAACCGTCCCTTTGTGGTTCGGCTTGGTTCTTGGTGGCAGGGGAAAAGCGCCATTATTCTGACCAGATCACACTTAAAGCTTGGCTCTTTTTTGTCCAGGCACCCGTTAAGTCGTCTTTTTTTCTTTATCGTTGTTTTTTGAGTTCGTAACTATGCTTTGTCAGGATGCTGAATGTATTTTATGGTTGCGCGACTGGTTATGCAAAATAACCGTTCCATAATAAACACATTTTGCGAGTTCCGCTTCTAAGTACTGATGTACCAAAAAGATGCCCCTTTTAGGTACTGGTGCCTGACCAGAATTCAGTGGAAAAGGGAAAATACCAAATGTTTAGTACCGATCGTACAGTATCTAGTGCAGAAAAAAGGCGCCTTTGGAGTCCATCAGCCCTTGTGTCCATCAGGTCCTGCAGACCCGTCTGAAGCCCCTTGAGAAGAGTCATGTGGCTGCCTGTGACAAAGCCTCCAAGCTGGCTCAGAATGTCCTCCTCCTGAAGCAGCAGCTCCAGGAAGTGCAAACCCAGCTTGAGGAGCGACAGAAGGCCGTCGAAAGCCTGAAGAAGCAGCTCGAGGTTTGAGTCTAGTAGCCTCATTCTGCGGCTTCTGTTGAAAAGTGATACAATATTTTCCCTGCTAAGGGGTCTCTCTGCTCCTATGTCCCAGGCGCAGGTGAGGAAGGGCGTCGCCCCCGGCACGGAGGAGCTTGAGGAGATGAAGGCGAAGCTGTTCAGAATGGAGCTGGAGCAGAGTGCGCAGGCCAGCAGCTGCCAGGAGAAGTAAGTCGGACGGCGCTTCCTGTCCTCCTGCCCTGTCTTCTGCGGTGGATCTCGCTGCTAATTGGCTGTCTTGCCAGGGTTGCCACGATGACGGCGTTGCTGGATCACAAAGAGGATACCCTCAGGAAGCTGAAGGAGATGCTGAGAAAGGCACAAAACCAAGGAGATGAGTCCTGTGAGTATGACATGGGGGAAGCAGCCTGTTTCAGAGACCCGCCCCCCAGGCCTGTCTTCTCATTCCCCTTCCTTACTGGCAGTCATTGCAGGGGGACCGGCCATTGCCAGGGTGTCCAGTGGAGCAGGTGCGGCTCGCCTGGTCCAGAGCACTGTGCAGGTGGAGCGAGCCAAGCTGGAGAGTGACATGAAGCACTTGGAGCAGGAGGTGGAGAGATTGGAGAGGTAGGACAGTCGGTCCCTTAGGGGGTGCTGCAGTGTCATTAAGATGCTTAGAATAACGCGATTAGCCATGAGATTTTGATTGGGCGTGGCTGAGCCCACGTCTAACAGAGCAGCTTGTAGCACTTGGGCCCGTCCGCTTGTCTTTTTGGGGTAACCGGCTGCTCTCCCTGCTGACTCTGGTTAAGTCTGATGTATTGCATGTGACCCCCCTCCTCTCCCCTCCCCTCCCAGCCTAGTTTCCAGCCAGAAGGAGGAGATCGGCAAGTGGAGGGGGCGTGCCGTGAGACTGAAGGAGACCCAGCGTGACCTGCAGAAGCACGAGCGGCCATCGCCTGCCCCCCTCACCCCCTCCAAGAGGGGCCAGCTGGCTGCTGCTGACGCCCCCTCCCCCATGAAGAAGCCGGCTGACAGGAGTGGCCTCCCCGGGCATGAGGACGGCAGCAGCAAGGCCCCCCCTTCAGGTATGGTGGCTATACTGAGGCCGTTTGTGTGCCAACGGGCTGATGTCCCAGGAGAGCATCTGCAACGCTGTGCTGTGTTTGCCAGACGAGTCGGATCCAGAGTCGGACCTGCCGACTGCTCTGCCCCCCCCCAGCCCCGACCCGAGTCCTCAGATGGGTAAAGGGCTCTGGTTTTTAAATGGTTGTGGTTCCAGGCACTGCAGTTGGTGTGTGCACGGGGTGATGGGGGTGCACTCTGTCGGGTTGGGGTCACAGTGGGGTCACAGCACTGTCACTTTTGCAGGACCTGGCAGCACGACAGAAGACAAGTGCAAAGAGTGGTGGCCCATGTCCCCCAGCCAGGCTGACAACTGCAAGGCCCAGTGAGATGCGGCCTCCGTTCGCACTTTTTTAATGTGTGTTTTTGTTTGTTCTGTTCTGTTATGTTTTCAAGTTAATAAAACCTTTTCATTACCATGTGTTGTTCTGTAATTTACCTTTGAATACTATATACATTGTATATGGTCATGTTTTTTCATTTTTACTTCTACCTTAATACTCGTGTAATTGTACTGTACAGCCAGAAGAGGGCAGTCTTGCTCCTCATTGAGGTGGGCGAAGGCTTTAAACGGCATTTTTCCCTTTTTCTGTGCCACTAAACCAGCTTGCAAAGCCTGAGACCCTGATAGTGTGTCCCTGCAAAAGGACACTACTCTGACACAGTAACCTCAGCAGTTGGGTCACCTTGAGCTATTGCATACACACAGATGGCACCAAGAGGAGCAAATCAAGCACATCCATAAAAAAAGGCTTTATTATTCTTGGTTGAACTTGTCCTGCCTGTGCCAGGCTCCCCGGTGACTGTCGGGCCCCAGGATCAAACGGCTCCTTCCAGCCCTGAAGCGACTCACTTTTTGACTTTGCCCTGAGCCGCCACAGCCTCCATAGCCTTGCGGACGGTCTCCTCGTCTCCCAGGAACTGCATGGGCTTAACGGGCTTCAGGTCCTGGTCCAGCTCGTAGACGATGGGGATACCCGTAGGGAGGTTCAGCTCCATGATGGCGGCGTCGGACATGTCTGGGGGGGGGGGGGGCATGGATGACCCAGTTAGAGATCGACATGGTCCGGTTCCGACAGGAGTCGCGGAACTGCAAAGTGCTTGCTTCTTGGAACATAGACCAAATGGCCTTTTTCCTTTAGGTAGCCTGCTGGCCTCTGTGTGACCTTTGCGTGAAGGTCGCATGTGTAACCTGAAGCCTCCCTGCGCTCTGGTAGGCAGTGATTATTAATAGAGCTGCCGTAACCCCGGAATGATACACCAGCCCCTCTGCAGCTGCGGGCCCTGCTCTCCTCTCGCCCTCACACGGCATGTGACCTCTGACCTTTCCCAAGCGCTCTCCCCGAATCGGCCCTCGCCATCCGCTTCACTCACTCTCCAGGTGCTTGACGATGCCGCGGAGGCTGTTGCCGTGCGCTGCGATGAGCACGTTCTTCCCAGCCTTGATCTCCGGCACGATGTGCTCGTTCCAGAAGGGCAGGGCTCGTGCGATCGTGTCCTTGAGGCTCTCACAGCTGGGCAGTTCCCCCTCCTTCAGGCCCTTGTAGCGCCTTGACTGGTGGGAGGACAGAATTACAGCCGATTCACTCTGGTCATCTGGAGCTGATATCCGCTATTGCTCACGCGGTTAGTTAACAAACATTTGGTTTAGTTCTGAATGTCGGTGACAATCCAGCTCCCAGGCTGTCACACAGTATTCAGTTTAAATGTACTTGATAAGTCCCGTAACCTGGAATCCAGAAAGAGGCGATTAACGTTTGATTCTGGAATTATGTTCTTGTGAGACACTGATGTATGCATGACAGCTGTGTGTTAGATATTAACAGGTAGGTACAGGTAACTAAGCAGTATAACAGCATTCAGACACCGTCATTGTAGAGCAGAGAAAACGACTTTAAGATGGGAACTTGCCCTGAGTTATTGCATTACAGGTTCCCTGTAGGTACACTGTCCAGACAGGATGCCCCCCCCCCAGAATGCCTTTAGTTAAGGCTTAGCAGTTACTCTTCTTGTTGGTTCCTCAAGTCTCTGACAAACGCTCACAGCAGATCGTGTGATCTTTCCAATTCATGTCTCATCAGCAGCATCTCAAAATGCATTGGTTCCCCTCAGCCAATCCTTAACCAGATTTTAATGGGCTGTTGTGCCGGCCTCTCGCTCTCACCTCGCTGATGATCTTGTAGTAGGGGTGCTCCTGGTCCATGGGGGGGGGCGGGATGTCGAAGGATCGCCGCCAGATCTTCACCTTCTCCTCGCCATGCTTGGCCGCCGTCTCCGCCTTGTTCAGGCCTGTTAGGCCACCGTAGTGGCGCTCGTTCAGCCTCCAGCTACGCATCACGGGCAGCCACATCTGGTCCGTGCCCTCCAGAATGGTCCACAGTGTCTTGATGGCGCGCTTTAGCACGGACGTGTAGCAGATGTCGAACTTGAGGCCGGCGTCGCGGATGGCCTGTCCCCCGCGCCGAGCCTCCTCCAGACCCTTCTCGCTCAGGTCGGCATCGAACCAGCCGCAGAAGCGGTTCTCCTGGTTCCAGCTGCTCTCGCCGTGGCGCACAATTACGAGGCGGTGGGCGGTGGTCATGGTGGTTCCTCGCACACTTTTCCTGTCACGAGCAGAGTGGTGGCCTGACCCTTCCCTTTGGGGCACACCAAGCTTCAGCAAGCTTCAGTTACAGCAGGCGCCCTCTTTTTATAGCCACAAACATGGCTGGCTGGGGCCTGTGCCCCATCAACCAATCCCAGCTCTCCAGCTGAAAGACTGACAGGGTAGCCAACCAGTCCTCTGGACCTATGGGGCGTCTGCAAGCAGGAAGGGCAGATGTCATGGACAGAGTTAAAATAGCAACATGACTTTTACAGAGAGAGCTAAAGAAAAAACTAGTTAAAGATCAAATGGAGCTGTTAACTCATTGGAGGTAGAGAACAGGAAGAGTAAGACAAATGAAGGGAAACCCACAATGCATCTGTGCTACAAAATAGGCAACATGAACTTGCAGTTAGTGCAGTAAACTAATAACAGTGTATATAGGAGCACCCACTCCTCTGGCTGCGGGCACATGAAATGTGCTGCACAGCCTCCGAATCCAAAGCCTTACAACTTCTCCATCAACCAACTGCTCGAGCCCCAGAGGCAGCAGCCATTGTCTATGGCTATTTTTCAACCAGTGTGCTGTTAGAGCTGGCCAAGTGTGTTGTGTATAAAAAGTGTTTAAGTATTAATAGATTAATTTTGAACATACTTTAAGTGGCTTAGACAAAGAAAAAGCTCTGTGTATCAGGGAGGTTTTATTTACTTAATCGCCCAGTAGGCGGTAAACACACTTGTCATGTATTCAAATGCAGCCAAGAATAAGAAAATCTGCAAGCTGCCGTGTAGTGAAAAGACGAGATTTAGGTCACGGCAAACAAACACACTGTATGTTTTGCATGTATATTGTGTTGCGGAGGGGGGGGGCACAGGATTGACCTGATTTTTGTTCGGCTTTCATGCGTGGACAAGCACACAAACCAAATATGAATGTCTGAGTTAATATGTGGAACATTGTGATGTCACGACTGGCTGGTGCCAGAGGGGGGCGCCGACCCGGCTGGGAAATGGGCCGATTAGCTGGTTCCTAATGACCCCAGAAGACCATAAGGGAGCACGTGGGAGGTGGTTGATGGGGGGGGTTAGATGGGGCCATGAGGGCGGCCCAGCATTCAGTAGGGGATTGGGGTTGGCGGGGGCTCTGAGTAAGCATGCCTGCAGTGATGACTCAGGATGGGCTGCGGCAGGAACCTCCTCCCCCCCCCACCCCCACCCCCACCCCCAAAGTGAAGGTACCCAGGTGACATTCAGCCTTTCTGGGAATGTATTCGTGCAGCATCCACTCAAGGTAAACCAACACACAGAGAACGGTCCAGAAGGGCGTATAAGCAATATATAGTATGGACTGGACCTGGTACTGCAGGCAAGGTGGGACTCCTCATGACCATCAGAGGCTCTGATCTGCTGATCACTTCCTCCTGTCACTCTAGCTGGGGGTGCATGTAAATTGGTGTGCTCGGGGTTTTTGTGCCTCTAGTAAGCTGGAAAAGGTGTCTATCCAGCAACCCCCCCCCCCCCCCCCCCCAGCACAAGCTGGAGCTTCTGTCTCCGCCCACGCCGCCAGTTTCAGCCCCTCCTGAAAATATCACTGTCTTCTTGCTATTCCACTGGCGTGTGCTGTCACTCTGGCTCCTGCCATGCTCTGCTCCCCTTGAAAAGGACTGTTTCCCCCCCACAAATCCTAGGTCCTGTCCACCATACCCACCAGAGGCTTAGCTGGACTTAGTAAAGTATTTCTGAAGGAAACATTATACTTCAGAGCAGTGTTTCCCAGCAGTGTTTCCCAGTCTGGTTCTTGGGGACCCACTGTTTTTGCTCCCTAAAAGCTCCCTGTCAGACAGTCTACATTTTTGCTACCTTCCAGTGCCTTCCCAGCTCCCTGGACTGTCTATGGCTCCCTGAGGACTGGGAAACACTGCTTTAGTGGAAAAGAGATTAATATATGTGTAAGGAATTCAGGACATTGGCCACATCTAAATGATGTGGGTTCGACATGCCAGCCAGCTCCGGCTCTCCTTCACTCATGGGTAGGAGCCCAGGGGCTTTTTATGCCAAAATGGCTGTTTTCTGACTAGTATCTGATTTCCCAGACTTTCGGCAGGTCACACTCTTCACAAAGGTCACCAGACTTCTAATCATGCTTTTGTTTCAAGTTATTCCCTGATTATTCTGTTCATGTCTGTTCTATGATCAGGTATCTGGCAGGATGTTGTTAGTTTTTATTCCCCAGTTGGGTGTCCGATGGGGCCCCGTTCCATTATCGTGGTCAGACATCTGACGGGGTCCCATTCCTGTCCGCGATCAGTTATCCAATAGGGTCCCGTCCCTGTCTGTGTTCAGATATCCGACAGCAGGTCCCAGCCCCGTCTGCAATCGGGTATCTGACAGAGTACTGTCCCCATCCAGGATCGGGCATCTAACAGGGTCCCACTCCCATTCGGGTATCTGATAGGGTCCTGTCCCCATCCAGGATCGGGCATCTAACAGGGTCCCACCCCCATTCGGGTATCTGATAGGGTCCTGTCTCTGTCTGCAGTTGGGTATCCGGTGGGTCCCGTCCCTATACGGGGTTGGGTATCTGATGACTTCCTGTATCTGTTCACAATCGGGTATCTGACGAGGTCGGGTCCTGTCCCCATCCACAATCGAGTGGGTATCTGATGGGGTCCCGTCCCCGTCTATGATTGGATATCCGAGGGGGTCCCGTCCCCGCCTATGATTGGTTATCCGAGGGGGTCCCGTCCCCGCCTATGATTGGTTATCCGAGGGGGTCCCGTCCCCGCCTATGATTGGGTATCTGAGGGAGTATCGTCTCCATTTTCGATGGCATATGATGAGTAAATTGCCTTAAGTGCTTTTAAATGCTGTAATGTTTGCGGTATGTTTTCTGAAATACCCTGATCAGCATACTGTACAGGGGGTGTATACCAGTGCCCGCCTGGTGTCCTTTAACATAAATAAATCTGTCTCAGTTCTGTCGCACACCTTGAGGTGTGTGTGTTTTATAACATCATGGTATTCTGTGTCGGTTTAAATTTAGCTCATTCTATGTGGGGAAGATGGCCTCTTGTTCACATTGGTCTTGTCCTGTGTTCTGGTTACGTTTTCACCATTTGAGCCGATGTATGTAACCGTCTACGCAAGGTGACCACACCGTTATTCCTTACAGCACCCTGAAGGTATATGCAGTTGCTGGACATTGGTAAGGAGATATGGATGTGCACTGACCTGCTAAGCCCACTTGGGGCAGCATTGTGGCATTTTGTGTATGAGAGCACATTACTGCTGGCTCCAGTTTTCTGCAGTGCAGAATTTACTTTCTTCCTGAAAACAGGAAAACCTTATATAAATATTCCAGGAGGGATCATTGATGTGTCTCCTCAGGTTTGTGTCCATCAGATACTTTTCTTTCAGTGACCTTGGGTCCTTTTGCTGTTCTGGTGATTTCCTGCATCGGACAGAAGGTCTCAGGTTACTTCCTGCAAACCGACTTAAAACACCGTCTCAAAGTTCCCTCCTGCTTTCTGTCATTTCTTGTCTCCTTACCTCGCTCCCTCTTCTCTCTCTCTTGCTCTCTGTCTCTCTCTCTCTCTCTCTGGGCTCAGGACTGCATGCTGCTGTATTGATTCTGCTTCTGCTGCCTCAGAAAATGCATGCGTCAGAGTTCTGCGTCGTATAAGAGTGGCCCTCCACCTCTCCAGCCAGCGGCACAGACCCAGCTCCCTGTAACGGCACCACTCCCCGGCGCTGAGTGGCCATGACTTCCAGCGGTTACGAGCCCTTCTTCCCCTCCCTATCACGGAGGCGCTTCCTGGATGCCGGCCCCCGGGTGGCAGCACGGAGCGGCGTGATGCTCTCTTCTCGTTACGCCGTCCCCCAGAGGGCCTCCGTACAGCTGGGCCGGCCGGTGCTCTCCTCCGAACTGGACCTCAACCGTGCGACGCAGGTGAGCTGCGAGTTCCGGGCGGTGCGCACACAGGAGAAGGCCCAGCTGCAGGAGCTGAACGACCGTTTCGCCGGCTTCATCGACCATGTGCGTGAGCTGGAGCAGCGCAACCGCATGCTGGAGGCGGAGCTGCTAGTGCTGCGGCGGCGGCACGGGGAGCCCAGTCGCCTGCGGGCACTGTATGAGCAGGAGAGCCGCGAGCTGCGGTCGGCGGTGGAGGAGGCGCGGGCCGAGATGCAGGCTGCCCACGGCCGGCGGGAGCACCTGCGAGAGGAGTTGAGGAGTCTGCAAGAGCGCTATGAGGAGGAGGCCCGGGCCAGGGAGGAGGCGGAGGGACGGCTGCTGGAGGCGCGCCGTGGCGCAGATGAGGCAGCACTGGCCCGCACAGAGATGGAGAAACGGGCTGACGGCCTGCTGGATGAACTGGGCTTCCTGAAGAAGCTGCATGAGAGCGAGATCGCCGAGCTGCAGGTGCAGGCACAGTACAGCGCACAGGTCAGCGTGCGTGCCGAGGCCGAGCTGGCCGGGCCCGACCTGACCGCTGCGCTGCGCGACATCCGTGCCCAGTACGAGCGGCTGGCACAGCGCAACATGCAGTGCGCCGAGGACTGGTTCCACAGCAAGGCGGGAGCGTTGGCAGAGAGTGCTGCCCGGCAGAGCGATGTCATGCGCAGCGCCAGGGACGAGGCGGGCGAGTGCCGGCGCCAGCTGCAGGACCTCTCCCTGGAGATCGACGCCTGCAGGGGCATCAACCAGGCACTGGAGAGGCAGCTGCAGGAGCTGGAGGACAAGCAGGGCAGTGAGATCGAAGCCATGCAGGTCAGTGCCGGTGCAGCGCTGCGGATTCTAGGACAAGTGGGAGCCCGAGCTGTCTGGCATGGGCGCTGTGGCTATGTTATGTAGATGTAGCACTGCTGTGCATGCCCCCCCCCCCTCCCCCCCCAGGACTCTATCAACCAGCTGGAGGAGGAGCTGCGTGCCACCAAGGATGAGATGGCTCGACATCTCCGAGAATACCAGGACCTGCTCAACGTCAAGATGGCTCTGGATATCGAGATCGCCGCTTACAGGTCAGTAGTGGGATGCCCTCGAAATTGGCTTTTAAAGGTTTCCTTTAAAAAAATAAAACACTATGAACATAATGTTGAACATCATTCACATTTAATTGTCAAAGACATTATCTTTTCAATCAACTTTTAAACTAGCAGCCTGACTTCACACCTCAAATCATTACTCAAAAACCTTTGAACAAATGTGAACACAATTTTGGTTTGGGCTTAAACACCTTTAATGAGCATTAGTGAACTCCAGTCTTGGTCCTCAGTGGTGTGGAGTTTGTACTATACTCCTGTTTTAGAATATTAGTGAACCCCAGTCCCAAAGACGACCATCTTAATGATGTGGAGTTTGTACTACGCTCATTCTTCAGAGAATTAGTGAATTCCACTACTTAAGAGGCCATCTTGGTCTTACCCCAATTCCCAAAAATGTCTTGCTAGGGACTCTGTGCTAGACACTATAATAAATGTATTTTCTCAATTCTCTCAAAACACATACAGGAAACTGTTAGAAGGAGAGGAGACACGCTTCGGTGTGGGTGTGGTTGCCAGCCTGCCTGTGGCACCCTCATTTACCCGCCCAATGTTCACACTGTCACCTGGCCTGAGCTCCGGCGCCCCCTACCTGTTCAGCACGCGTCTGCTCGGCACGTCCATCTCCTCTGCAGATGAGGTCATCACCGTTAGCCGGGCGCATCGTGCTGAAGCTAGCCTGCCCCCAGAAGATGAGGAAAAAGAGGAGGAAGAAGAGGCAGAAACACAGGAAGAAGCAGGCGGTCAGTAAAAGAGGCGGCAGGGGTGGGGGTGGAAGGGGTTATGCTACCCAGAGTTCTGTGCTCCATGCTTATTTAAAGATATACATTCTCTTTGCATATCTGCACAGTTGTGAAATAGGAACATCTTTAATTCTTCTTCCTTTACGAATAGCCTTATTTGTAATCTGTTTATTGCATGTAAAAGTCCTAAGAAATGTGTAAATCTGTTAACTAAACAATTATGAATACTTTCTGTGATTCAAACATTGATGTTTATATTCCTGCTGCAGATGAGGATGGGGACAAAGGGGAAGCAGGAGCTGAAGAAGAGGTAGCAGAAGAAGAGGAAACGAAAGAGGATGGTGGGGATGAGGGAGAAAAAGGTGGAGAGGAAGAGGAAGGAGACCAGGGGGAAGGAGAAACAGAGGGTGCAGAAGAAGAGGCAGGAGAAGATGAGAAGGCTGAGGAGAAAGATGCTGAGACAGATGAGGTATTAAAGAAGGAAGATGAGGGAAAGGATGATGAAGCTGTGGAGGAAAAGGAAGGGAAAGATGATAAGGCTGAGGGGGGAAAAGCAGAAAAGGATGAGGAAGCAAAGGAGGAAGAGGAAGTAAAAGATGAGACAGTTGAGGAGAAAAAGGTAGGAAAGGAAGAGGAAGCAAAGGAGGAAGATGAAGGGAAGGATGAGAAGGGTGAGGAGAAAAAGGTAGGAAAGGATGAGGAAGCAAAGGAGGAAGAGGAAGGGAAGGATGAGAAGGGTGAGGAGAAAAAAGTAGCAAAGGATGAGGACGCAAAGGAGGAGGAGGAAGGGAAGGATGAGAAGGCTGTGGAGAAAAAGGTAGGAAAGGATGAGGAAGCAAAGAAGGAAGAGGAAGGGAAGGGTGAGAAGGGTGTGGAGAAAAAGGTAGGAAAGGATGAGAAGAAAATGGCAGGGAAGGATGAGGAAACTGCCAAGAAACCTGAAACAGCAGCAGGTGGCGCTGAACAAAAGGTAGAGGAGAAGAAGGAAGGGAAGGTAAAGGAAGAACAAAAGCCAAAAGAGAAGAAGAAAGAGTGAACGGCCGTGTGCGAACTACCAAGAGAATGAATCTTCTCGCCGACAAGGCAAAATACAGCGAAATTAGTTAGATAAACCACATGTAAAATCAAAAGGCGTAAAGTGAGCACAGCCACACAGGTATGAATGCAGAAACAATTATGCCGCGATGTAGCTAAAGCGCACAGCATGACGGGAGATGGTGTCACTGATACACAAACTTGTAATGTTCGCAATGTCTAAACGGCTGCTTTGCTGCTCGGAATAAAGCTCACCTTTACTGAGAACAGTGCGTTTCTTCCTCGTCTTTATTTGTGATATTTAGCAGGATAATGACACAGTAACCATTCATAATAAATTTTGTCATCACTTCATCGGTCCTTCAAAATATTTTCATGAACTTATCTTTTGGGGATGCTGATCACTGGCTTAGCCACGCACGGTGCACAAGGTGCGTACGCACCCCATGTCACTAAGATTTTTTTTATGTGAAATCCAGAAATATTTACGTTTGTGACCTGTGTTCCCCATCATCCTGTCATCCCGTGAATCGTTAAAATGCATCATGCGCTCATTATAAGGAGTTTACTTACTTACTTATAAATCACTTATTTTCGTGTGCAGTAACTCCTAAATTCCTTCCGTGTTGTTTCGGAATTACTGCAAATTGATGAGCAATCAATCGTTGCTGTTTCGCGCACACGGCTGGCAACTAATTGGTCCCATGTACTATAAGGACTTAAAAATCGCACAGCAAATAGACCATCAGTTTACTGTGTTTTCAAATGCATCATCATTCTCAAATTCGGTTTCCAGCAGTTAAAAATAAATCACATGTTCGCGGTTATGCACAATCATTTAAAATATATACAGTTTATTATGAAAAACCTGTTCTTGTGAAACGCGATAATAGGTTGAGCCGTGCTGCAGTTGGGCGCACCGAGGACTATGGGGTGAAAGGCTAGATACGCACGGGACGTAGATTCCTGGTTACGCCACTAATGCTGATTAATTTGTCTTGTCTTAAGCAGTTCTTACTCTATGAAATCCCTGTGTAGTGTATTATTACAGTTCGTGAGTATTAGAAAAATATATATAAAGTATTTATAAAGTAAATAAAAAAAAATCACTGACTATTATCCAGAAGCAAAATAAAACATTTAGTTTAAAAAAATAAAAAAAGAATCACGGCAGATACTTCCAAGCAAAGTATGCGTATAGAGTAAATAGATGTTATATTTAATATTTTTCCTAATACATCAAGAAACGGAAAACCCTCTAATGTGCTCTAATGAAGCCCTTGTGTGATTTTCATTGTATCTGGTGTACATGAGTTTATTAAAGCGCTGCTTCTGGGCACGGTACCCCGCATTGCAGTGATAAAAGTCCGCAGAAGCCGTTTGGCGGAGCAGCGATGGGACTTTGGGACGCACGCTATTATTTAAACACAGGGGCCGCCGCAAGTCTGAGCGTTAGATATTCAAGCCGTACAATTTTGCTACACGGCGGGACTGAGACTGTCCTTAAAATACCGCAGAGCCCCACATGGGGATACGGCCGGCTGCCCCCTCCCTGTGACTATGACACAGCAGTATTCCCGGAGAGCCGGGGCTAAGTCTCACACATCTGATACAGGACAGGTTTCTCATTTAAACCTCATGGGCTCATTTTAGGGATACTGTCCCCGGAAAGTGACTTTAGTATAGTCCAAAGTGGCATTCCGCTTTGAATAGGCTAGTAAACAAACACATGTGTATCTGTGTTTGTATGCGGATGTGCGTCTCTGTTTTTATATGCGAATGTAAGTGACAATGAAAACCCTATTAATCGGTAGCGAATCAATATCGAATGATGTTAGTTTCCAGGCAGAGTTGCTGGTCTTCCCGGAGTAGAGAAGGCAGGATTGCTTTGCTGAAAGTCACAGGGAACCCTGCAACTTTGGGGAAGCCATTCGTCACACTCACACGGAACCGGCACCAATGTTTTTCAGCGGACAGCGGAGATCATTCATATGTCGAGCGTCCTTTGCAGACATTTATGCACATATATGCTTCATAGCGCTTCAGATACAGGAGGTTTTCCTCATAGAGCCGGAGATAATGGACAATAAGGTATTGAGTCCCCAATCCCTGATGTGCTTAGAACAATTCTCCTAACTATTCTGCTTCAGGTCTTAAAATTGTTAGCTAAGAGTTCATGTGTTCTGCGTGATAATGCTTTGCAGATAGTACTGTACCTTGCTGTATACGATAATGATGCACTTGTAAATGCATTGATTTGTTGTAAGTCTGGTGTCCGCTGCTGGGTCTAAAATAAAGTCACTAAAGGTGCATTTGGAATTAGTGATGGCGGACTACAGACTCACGGACTGACTTAATGCCACCCGAAGGTGCTATTATTAACGTGGGGGTGCTGTGCACTCTTAAGCACCCTCTTGCTGCATGTACAGCCTGCTTTGCTACACACTCTGAAAATGAGTTGAGCGGTGTGTAACCCGGGTGACTCCATATTTACTAAGTGTGCACGTGATTCACAAATAGGAGTAGGTCGTCTGCGGAAGAGCTGGACAGCCAGGGAGTGTTAACACAACATATTCTGCTGTGTAAGCCATGCAGTATAAGTGTAGTCTCATGTTTAACTTTTTGATGTTTACAGATCAGTATTCATTTTTCAGATCATATTGTTAGCTATAGGCTATTGAATATGTGCAATGTAAATACTCTTTTAAAGTTTTCGCGGGCTTCTCAAAATAAGATTTAGCTGAACTCCACACTCCAAAACCACATATCCACTACAGCAGCGGTTCTCAAACTTTTTGCACCACGATCCAGTTTTTTTTCTTTTTTAACACCAATCTAGCTCAGTCGCGACCTTATATCAAATGCAGGTTTAAATTAACGCTATGGTCAAGCACGCAGTGCACTCTGCCTTTACGCCAATCAATGCATATCGCACAAATCTGATTGGATATGCTTGTGAATTTTAAATTACGCACCTGTGGTTTGGCTTCTTGGATTGGTTGAGTGTTCACTAGTTTTGCACTAAGCATTTGCAGACCCAAGACCCGTTTATATAGGTTAATTATAGGATTGGGGCTGGGAAAACTGATGGTGGATCAACATAGGATGGTTTTAAAATGCTTACGTTTCCTACTCTGGTTTGCGACCCTTTCAGAACTTGCTGTGACCCACGGGTTGAGAATCGCAGCACTACAGGGTTACGGTGAGTCTGGAGTCTATCCTGTTGTTGTGGGGGAGGTAAAGGGTACAAGGCAGGGTTTCCAGTGCTGGGGCAGTTTAGAATTCATCTCACCATGTGTTTCTGGTCCGGCAAACTTGGAGGAGACTCAATGGAGAAACTGCACACACACCACTGTTAGTCAAAAGCTTAATTACAGCAGCACAAAGCAGCACTTATAATAGCATGACATGGAGACACACTTTTATCTCTGTGAAATAAGACAGGAAGTGGAGAAGAGAATTTCTGAATGAGGTTTATTGAGCATATTGCTGTCGACAGATGTTTGGCTGAAAGAACAGACATGATCAGTAAAGTGTAGCACCTGAAGTGTGTTCAGTCTTGAATGAAACGTCCCAGTCTTCCATACTTCCATTTATGTGCACGTGCTCGTTTTATTTTTTATTGCACTCATAAGGTAAACATAACAGACAACAAGAAGAAGCATGTTTAAGGCTACGTTTTAATGCTCAGGTACAGTCAGTTACAGTTGGCTTCCGGCGTGGCCTGTTCTGTGTGTTGGGCCGTCTGCTCACCTGACCTCCCGTTGCGATGCGTTATTACTAGAGTCCTTTATTGTTTATTTGGCTCAGCTGACTCCTTGCGTAAATAAGGCTTCCACTTGTGAATGTACATTACTGTCCTCACATCCCCCCCCCCCCCCCACCAACCACCTGCCTCTTGTCACCCATTTGTCTCATATTCGGTTATTTACAATCAAGTGCTCCATCTCCCACTTTTGGGGGGACGGGGGTGCTCTTCTGTCGAACTCGCATGCAAATGCCCCCACCCCAAACCCCCCCCCCCCCCCACACTGTGGAAACAATAATCACCCCAAAAAAGTTAAGAACTCCTGGACAGCCCCCTCCACACCCATCTGCAATAAAGCCCATTTAAAGCACTCACTGACATGCAGTTTTGAATTATATTTTCATGTCATATAGACCTTCTCAGCGTTTCTCTGAGTGAATGTTATAGTGTAATCTTTTCAGCTGTTAGATTTAATTAATTACATTATTATGCCTTTATTAATTGCCTACCTCTTCTTCCAACCTCAGCTATTTGTTTTTGAAGTGTTTATTCTGTCTCTGTGACCTGCTTGACAGATTGAGAGGTAACCTTCTCCACCTTCTTGCTGGAAACCACCTTCTCTGTCATTTCATCCAGCTGCTTCACTGTCTCAGTGACAGTCACGGATTTGGTGACATGCTTCTCCCCACCCTCACCTGTGGTGATGGTCTCCACCGTCTTGGTAATGACCACTTTCTGGCCAGGCTCTTCTTTGATGGGGCTCTCGTCCACTCCATTAGCGATCACGTCCTTCTCGTCTGCCTCTGTCTTCTCTTCCTCCTTTGGACTTCCCTTCTCTACCTCCCCATTCATGGCTGCATCCTTCTTCTCTGTCTTCTCCTGCTCTACCTCAGAATCACTCTTTTTAACTACCTTTTCCCCTTCCACCTTAGCTGGTTCCTCCTTAGCTTGACTTTCTTTGGGTGGTTTGTCCTTGACTTCACTTTCTTTGGCTGGACTTTCCTTGGTTGGTCCTTCTTTGACTGGACTTTCCTTGGTTGGTCCTTCTTTGACTGGACTTTCCTTGGTTGGTCCTTCTTTGACTGGGCTTTCCTTGGTTGGTCCTTCTTTGACTGGGCTTTCCTTGGTTGGTCCTTCTTTGACTGGGCTTTCCTTAGGTGGAACTTCCTTGACTGGACTTTTCTTGGGTGTTTCTTCTGCTACTGGACTTTTCTTAGGTACTTCTTCCGTGACTGGGCTTGTCTTGGGAGGACTTTCCTTTGCTGCCTCTTCCTTAGATTCCCTTTCCTTGCCAGCTTCCTCCTTGGCCGTCGGCTCCTCTCCTGGTGAAGACTCCGCCTGCTCTTCCTCCCTGCCCTCAGCTACTTCCTCTTCTTGCACTGCTTCCTTCTCGTCGCCATCTTTTGATCCTTTGTCACTGGCTGACTCATCGTCTGCTTTATCCTCTGTCTTTTCCTCTTCCTCTCCCTCTTCCTCACCACCACTTGCTCCTGCATCAGGGGCAGCTTCTGACTTTGCAGCAGTAGCACTTGGGACAGTTTCCTCTGCTGTCTCCTCTTGTTCTTTTCCCTCTTCTTCTGCCTCAATCTCCTCCTCCTTTCCTTCCTCTTCACCTTCCCCTTCTCCTTCCTCTTTTTCATCCTCCTCTTTCTCTCCCTCCTCTCCCTGCTCCTCGGGCATAACACTTACCCCACTTTCAGTGGTGGCCACTATCTCATCCTCTTTCACCTCTTCCTCTCCTTCCTCTAGCTCCTCTCCTGCCTTCTCTTCCTCATCACCAGTCACAGCGGACAGCTCTTCTGCTGCTTCTGCTAGGATCTCATCCATTTCCGACTTCTCGTCCTCCACACGTGTCTCCTCAATGATCTCCTCCACAAACTTGTGCTGCACTTTCAATCTTGATGGATCTCCCTTAGTCTTTAGCCCCTTGGTGGTGCTGACCGGCTGCCGGTATGGGAATGAGCTAAAATGGGTCTCCTCCCCCTCCAGGAGTTTTCTGTGCAGAAAAGCAGGTGAGGAGACAGAGAGGGAGAGGGAACATGGTCACTTCCCAGCTGCTGGATACATCAGTGTTTCAAAAATACAATGTTATTGCATGCAATTTTAGAGGACTTTTATTTGTCTGGAACTGGGAAACATACCTTTTAAGTGTGAAAAGCTGAAGAATCTCAAGAGCCTTAGATATAGCACTACACTGATTACATCACTGAACACAATATTGCATCAATAACATCGTTGTTTTTCATAAATTAATTTATTGTTTTCATAATCAACATATATGTGAATGTGCTTAAACCCTTAGACCCTAAAAAACACTTGCGATAAAAATGACGTCACAGTCGCTAATGTTTTCACTTACGTCATTTTCAAGTATGTGTGGCTGCAGCCAGGAGCCGAGTGTCGCGTAGGAGGGACAATGTCGAGTAGGAGGGGTTTATATGAGATTTAGGGTTAAGGTATCAGATGATAACACCCCCCTCGATATAAACCCCTCCCATAATGCACCGCCTACTCGACATTTCCCCTCCCTCTTGACATTCGGCTCCTGACTGCAGCGATATGCTTCTCCTCGTTTGCGCCATCACACCTGTAGGCGGCGATCTCGATGTCCAGAGCCATCTTGACGTTTAACAGGTCTTGGTACTCGCGCAGGTGTCGGGCCATCTCCCATTTTGTCCCTTTCAATTCATTATCTAGCTGATTGATGGTCTCCTGGGGTGTATTGGGGGAAGTAAGGGGTGCAGAGGAGACAGGATTTATTATTGCTCCAAAAATGTCTTATCAAACCAAAAATAATAAGAGGAAAAGACAAAGAATAACAAATAGAACTGTGCAAGTATCATAATTTATACTACAGTTCATAAAATAACAATAGTAAATTACATAGATGATAAAGCGATTTTAAGAAATCGTCTCTATTTATGTGACATCTTAGCTACTCGCCTCCTGCATGTGCTTTATCGATTTATTAACTTTTTCATTCGATGGCGGTTACACTATGTTAAGCTCTTATTTTAGCTGCTAAATATTCATAGATTCGCTGCTACCGTTTTGCACTTTGACCTGATAATCATAAATAATACAGTAACCGAAGAGGTTTATTTCTAAACTAGCCACATTACACTGTGTCTATTGCCGTGACGCAGTGCGCCGTGCGGCGAGACACAAGCAGGCAGACGCAGGGGAGCTATCAAGGGCGACGCCTGCCGCTTGTCAGCTGTCCCAATCATTTCCAAAATTTGTCCCGGACAAGGACAGAGTAGCCTAGATGAACTCAAGAGTCCAGATTCAATGTATACTTTTAGATGCGATTAAAGTTTAGCAGTACGTCTTCAGAATGACCACGGTTGCCCACCAGAGGGCGCGCTAACACCACTGAAGTGATGCGCAACAGCAGAGCCGAACCCTTCGCTGATTTAGACCTGCGAATTCCCCCGATGTAACATTACGGTCTTTGGCTGAATTAAACGAGTGACTTTGCTGAAACATATTTGCACATAGACGTGCAAGGTATTCAGGTCAGATGAGCTGTAAGACCAGGCTGGATGAAGCCTGTACGTGTCGCAGTGATTCTCCCCCTTTGCACTTGAATATTTGCCTCCTCCCGTCCTGCGAGCAGAGCTGCAGCCATGGCTCACAGCTCGCATATACAGCCCGGTCACCTTAAGCTGCAGCGATTTGCATAGACCTCGAGCATCGCTGCGCACCGCGAAAGTAGCCATTAATGCGGACCAAATAAATGCAACTCCAGTGTCATTACATAGGTCACAAAGCCACAGCAACCCTAACTTTGAAAAGTACGTTTGACTTTGATTCACTTAAATAACTTGATGAACGTGCAAATTACAAAAAGACGCAGAAAATTATCATTCATTCATCCATTCATAAATTCTAAGCTATCCATTTCAACATATGTTTCTGTGTATATAATTAAGATGCAATTGTTGCTTCTTTGGCCAATTAGAGGTAATGACTGAATTTGACTTTCAATAGCCATCCCATAAGCTGTGCGCCCTCAGACGAGTAACAAAGCATTAAAAACCCTCCAGTACGACGCATCAGGCGCGGATGCGCTTTCTCACCTGGAGGCTCGCCAGGTCGCTGTTGTGCCGGTCCTCGATGTCATTTAGCTGCCTCTCCAGCGACTCTTTGGTGCCCCGGACCGATTCCAGCTCGACGGTCTTGGTCTGAAGCTGGCGGCGGTACTCTGCGATCTCATCCCGGGCGGACTTGATGGCGTCCTTGTTCTGCTCGGCAGCCTCGGTCAGCTTGGCGTAACGGCACATGAACCAGTCCTCCACCTGCTGCAGGTTCTGCGAGGAGTGACCCTCCAGCTGCGAGCGGATCTCCCGGAGCGCCTCAGTGATGTCGGCCTTCTGATAGTCCCGTCTCTCCATGGTCACCTGGGACGCCTGCACTTGCGCCAAGAGCTCGCCCACCTCCTCTTCGTGGTTCTTGCGGATGAACGCCAGCTCCTCTTGGAGGGACTGAACTTTTTTGTCCAGTTCGTCTTTGGCCAGCGCCGAGTCACCCATGTCCTTCTTCATGGCACGGATAACGGCTTCCGTCTCCTCCCTGATGCGTGCTTCATCGTCCAATCGCTCCTTCAACCTCTGGATGTCCTCTTCGATGTGCTCCGTGTCCAGCTGGATCTGTGCCTTGTCGCGGTGGATCTGCTCCAACACAGAACGCAGCTCGCCCAGCTCCTGGTCGTACACGTCGCCAAGCTGGGATTGCGACACCTGCTTCTGCCGCAGCGCCTGGATCTCCGCCTCGATATGCTTGTTCTGCTGCTCCAGGTAGTGCACTTTGTCGATGTAGACGGCGAAGCGGTCGTTCAGTCCCTGCAGCTGCTCCTTCTCGTTGGAGCGCTTGTAGTCCCCATTAAACACCGATGTCTGGCTAAAGTCAACGCTGTCGGAGGAGCTGAGCACTACGGAGCTGTACGCCCGGGCCACCGGCCCGCTGACATTCCTCTTGGAGAAAGTGGGACTCGCCCGCGACCACGACTGCGAGCGGAAGCCGCTGGACGGCGAGCTGCTAGTGCGGCTGTAGCTGATCCTGGTGTCCATCCCTCTCCTGTAGGGATTCCCTATGGTGTCCAGCGTATAACTCATCGCGGCTGCAGTGTAAGCGTCCTCTCACTTGTGGGCTCCGGTGCGCACAGCGCCCGATCCTCCCCAGCCCTCCCTTTATATACCGGAGGCGTATTCGCTAACGGGGCAATATTTCTCCTCACCGTGTAAGTGGTGGGCCGGAGTGGGAGGGCTCACACCCCGATACCCGCTGCCAATGGCGGGGGCTTCAGACGACAGGCTCAACGCAGACTGATTGCAAACGCATGAAACGGGGAAGCGGTGATGGGACGGGATCTCAGCTGGGGCAGAACTAGGGGGGGGGGGGGGGTCATCTTACCCACAGCAGCCTGCAATATGCCGAGTCATTGCCTAGTAAAGCAAGCGCGAACGCTCCTTTAATCCTCCTTTTATATTTAACCGGCTTTTCAGTATAATTTTAAAAGAGGGCATTATAGAGTCAGAGTTAAATATATTAACCCATACCTACATTTGAAGCAACCCCATCCCCCGGTGACGCGCTTTACCGGCTAAACGGGGGCGTCAGCACCAAGGACAGCGCCGCTGCGAGCAAGGAAAAGCCCCAGACCGTCAAAATGCGACACCTTTTACTGCAAAACCAAACAAATATACGCGCTGTCTCGCCCATCCAAATGTCTACACGCATAAAATAATATTTAAATCACTGCAAATTTTTGTTTAGGATATATGTTATCTTACTTATTTTGTAAGTTTGGTCACACGGTTACTAGCATGAGTTTTGATATTTAGATTACAAGCGCTTAGTGTATGAAACACAACTAGCCGGCAATGTTTGGCGCTTCATTGTATGCGCACAAAGACGACCATCTTTGAATAATTTAAAAAGTGAAATTAGGCAAGTGTTTATTACTATATCAATTCATATAGACTTTAATCTCGATATTAAAATGAGAAACACTTATACGTTCGCATTTAGGCTACTTACAAGAGTAGCGTTACGATAAATACGTTATCAAACACAAGCACACAAAGAAGTAAACGGACTACTCTGAGTATTACTGAGACGCAGCATTTCACGTATAAAGTCCTTTATTGCAGTACGTCGTCGTACGGTGTAGTTTGACCCTCCTGCAGCTTCCATAGTTTTGAACTGGGCTCTACTTGAGGCTGACGCAGATTGCTTTTGAGTAATTCATTTTCTTTGTGACCGCGCACTGTTAGGAGCAATGAGCACAGTGATCTTGAAGAAACAGCACAGTAACAGAAAGGATCCCCGAATTCCCCGAAGCTCTGATGCAGGAGAGCTCGTCTGTAATGAGTCAGCAGGTTTGCTGAAGAGCGCTTGAGCCTGAAAGAGACTGCCATACAGTCCCATCTATCAAGGGGATACAGAGGCCGGCCGGCGGCGTGACTGGAACGAGGCTTTTTCTAAACGAATTCGGGAGCTTTAATAGGGATTCTTACATTCAGGGGCGACCTTAGGCCTATTTTTAATTTTATTATGATTTTTTTTCCGCCCTTCTAAAATGTCTTAACTCCCCCCCAATAAATTGATATTTATTGGCTGAAGTCATGAATAGCTTTTTATATTATATATGTTTGTCATCACCCCCCGCGCCGAGTGAACACTCAACCGTTAAATTTATATATACTGTACTGTACTGTATACACGCACGCATACACACGCATTTCTAGATGGTTTGTAGATTTCAGTTTTATTTGTTGTACAGGTTCCGCTTCAGCTCAGCATTCAGTCACACCATTGATGTTCTATCCGTTTCTATAGTCTTTCACCAGAATAACAGTTTATGTAGAGACCTATTATTACCCATTAATTACTCTGTATGGTAACTACATAGTTGTTAAAATCACTGTGAAGCCGGTGTCTCACTAACAACTGATTATAGGCTACATATTTTATTTATTATAGTCATCCAAATATAAAAGGTCCTTTGCAATTGTATTGAAGGGCTGCGGATTTAGTCTGTTTATTCTGCTCAGCTCGCACCCTGCGAGTCCCGCCCAGTGCCTGCTGTCATTGGACGACTTCACCGGAGATACGTGACCAATAGGGAATCTGACTGAGGCAAGCGTAAGCTGGACATTATCCCGATATGTTTATTTCTTTCTTCTTTTGTAACGTGGGTTTAGTTGTATCGGAGTAGGGAGAGCGATATACTGTGCTGGGCATCTTTTGTTCTGTGCGTTCAGATACCCGACCACACACACACACGCACACACACACACACACACACACACACACACACGCACACACAGTACAGAGCCTTGTTTCAAGCCCTTTATTAAAAGTTCCGGAGAACATATTCTTTGCGTTCTCATTCGATGCAGCACAGCGGCCACACCTCTCTCAGCAGTCAGTGGTAGTAGGCTAGTTCTCCATAACAGCAGTATACAACTCCGTTACAAAAAAAAGGTCTGGGGGTTTTTTAAAATTTAAATAACATAATACAATGATTTACAAATCATATAAACTCATAATTAACTGAAAATAGAATAAAAAAACACGTCGAATGTTGAAACTAAGAAATGTCATTGTTTACTACATGTAACACTGCAAAGAATTTGGAAATCATCATCTACAGCCCATAATATCAATTCCTATGATGCGTGAACCGCTCCCAGTTTCCTGGTAAGTGACTTGTGCACATTTCAAGCATCATGGAGAAGCTTGTTTCACTACCCAGCCATTCACAAATCCCAGTTTTTGGCAGGAGGAGCTGCCACTGGTCAGGAGCTCCCGCAGCTATCTCTGGTGTCACCAATCACGAAGGACTTGGGGCAACAAGGAACAGGTGACTGATCCTGACATCTCAATGTCCAAAAATGTCAGGTGGTGCAGTTATCCAAACAATGACTGCAGTAAGAAAACTACTGAAATTGATTAAGAAATAAAATTTTAAAAAAGATATATTAAGTAGGCATAATCCTATGTGTGAAACCTTTAAAATCACAAAAAGTTGAAAAACACTGCAGTTTAAAAACCATTGAGGTAATTGAAAAAACATTTGTCCAAAAATCTACATTACCTCAAATGTCAGGCGGCACAACTTGGAAAAGGGTGCGTTTCTGAAAAGTCAGGTGATGCAACCACGATTAACATTACTACTAACTGTAAATGCAGAAAAGAATTAGTGGGATCTGATGCATTGCAGATGCTAAAATGGTTACTTTATGATGGATTTCATTTGGAAAGAATAATTGTAAAATGTCATTTTTTTTGTAGTCCCACCTGATATTTTTCAGGCGGTCATTCACCATGTTACTGTATCATGTTAGTTAATTACGCAGTGAAGTGAGGTCCTGTATTTGTCTTAGTCTGAACCCTGAAACACGACCAGCATGTATGCTAATGCTGGCATGCAGCTACAGGCCCGAGGCATGTTAAGGAAGCTCGTCCTGGGCTTGACTTAATGTGTCTCACCTCAGCCTGAATTTTCCCACCTTGGCGTCCCTCATCTGATAATGACAGCAGCTGTTCCCACTGAGAAGGCAGCATAGCCTGATCCCATGAACCCCGCGTTTCTAAAATGTTTAACCTCTTCACTGACTGGATGGAGACTGACTGGCACCCAAGTGAAACCATCAATCAAAATGCTACAATTTACTCATTTCGCTGGATGGTCGTATCCATATATTGCAAGATGGATATGTATACAAGCAAATATGTCCAAATAAGTGATATATTTGCATCTGCTAGTGCTTCACAGATAAGGAGACAATGCTTACAGAAGAAAACGATGAACATATACCCTCAGTGAGCAGTTTATTTGGATGCAAACAGCAAGCATTAGAACAGGTAAAATGTGTGATTTTTAAATAGATTCATGAAGGTGCTGTGATTTTTCATGCAGACGTGGTGGTTCCGGCATCTCAGAAATAGCCCCCTTCCTGGGATTTTCATGTGCTACAGTGTTTTTAGAGAACGGTGTGATGAACAAAAACCTCCAGTCAGGAGGAGGTCAGAGGAGAATAGCCAGACTGCTTAAAGCTGACAAGGAAGGCCACAGGTGCGAAGGTTACAGCTCAGTACAAGCATGGTGTGCAGGTAGACTCCTCTGAAGATGCACTGCATAAACCCCTGAGGCGGTTCTGAAGACAAAATGAGATCGTACCTGTTATTACTTAAGGAAACCTAACAAAATGGCCACTGCATTTGCTATTAGTGGGACAGCAGACAGGGATTAAGGCTCAACAAGAGGCCTAAAAGACCTGGGGTGAATGTCAACACCAAGAACGCAAAGACTGTACTTGTGGTCTTGGTGCTACCTTGCGTTCCAAGAACGAAATTGGGGCGCAGTGAATCATGGGATTGGTCTCATTTGGCAAGGATGTATCCTTGATATTTGGGGCGGGGCAAGACTAACATCTGGGGATTTCTACTATCCTGTCATATTCTGTACTGTTTCTACCCTGCCCTTCAGTCTCTAGTGTTTTTCCTGTTACTTGTACTGCAACTGAGCTCAGTGGGTTGAGTTTATGGCCCTCAGACTATAAACCCACTGCTCAGGAACTGGAGGCTGGCCAGAGGCCAACCTCATTTGTAACTCTATTATCAGTATTTCCTATGTGTTTGGTATTGTATCTTTTTTCTTTGCTTTTTCCCCCACTTTTGATTTACTTTTTTGTGCCTGGTTATATTCTTTTCTGCATAGCCTTATGTTCCTAGTGTTCCCTTAGTGTTAGGTTTCCTAGTTCCTAGTCTTGTTAATTGTAAATTATTTCACCTGTGCCTTGTTCCATGGCCTTGTTGATTAATTACCTGTTTCCCGGTGTAAGTTTCGCTTTGTGGTGTTTCCCCCTTATTTTCAACCCCTTCCAGGGGTTTAGTTGTTTTTTGTATTTGTTCCCAGTGTGTTTAGTTAGTTCTGTTCCTAATAAACCCCTCTGTCTTGGAGTCGCTAGGGCTGCCACTGACACATCCTTCTATACTTGTGTTCTTAGTATTGGAACTGGTCTTCAGCAATGGAAGATGATGTAAAACAGGTTTGCGAGAATGCAAGTATGGTAAAGTACGCGTACTGAGATTCAGCCCTGGATTTAACCTTAAAACAGGTTGAGGGGACATATGTCTCTGTAAGGATGCTTTCTATTGGACAGTAACAGGTATGTCTCTGTAAGGATGCTTTCTATTGGGCAGTAACAGGTATATCCTACTATTCCTGTGCGT